GTGTTGTGATCCTCCCTGGTGTTGTGTTCCACCCTGGTGTTGTGTTGTGATCCTCCCTGGTGTTGTGTTCCACCCTGGTGTTGTGTTGTGATCCTCCCTGGTGTTGTGTTCCACCCTGGTGTTGTGTTGTGATCCTCCCTGGTGTTGTGTTCCACCCTGGTGTTGTGTTGTGATCCTCCCTGGTGTTGTGTTCCACCCTGGTGTTGTGTTGTGATCCTCCCTGGTGTTGTGTTCCACCCTGGTGTTGTGTTGTGATCCTCCCTGGTGTTGTGTTCCACCCTGGTGTTGTGTTGTGATCCACCCTGGTGTTGTGTTGTGATCCTCCCTGGTGTTGTGTTCCACCCTGGTGTTGTGTTGTGATCCTCCCTGGTGCTGTATTGTGATCCTGATGGTGTGTTGTGATCCTCCCTGGTGTTGTGTTGTGATCCTCCCTGGTGTTGTGTTGTGATCCTCCCTGGTGTTGTGTTCCTCCCTGGTGTTGTGTTGTGATCCTCCCTGGTGCTGTATTGTGATCCTGATGGTGTGTTGTGATCCTCCCTGGTGTTGTGTTGTGATCCTCCCTGGTGTTGTGTTCCACCCTGGTGTTGTGTTGTGATCCTCCCTGGTGCTGTATTGTGATCCTGATGGTGTGTTGTGATCCTCCCTGGTGTTGTGTTGTGATCCTCCCTGGTGTTGTGTTGTGATCCTCCCTGGTGTTGTGTTCCACCCTGGTGTTGTGTTGTGATCCTCCCTGGTGTTGTGTTCCCCCTGGTGTTGTGTTGTGATCCTCCCTGGTGTTGTGTTCCTCCCTGGTGTTGTGTTGTGATCCTCCCTGGTGTTGTGTTGTGATCCTCCCTGGTGTTGTGTTCCTCCTGGTGTTGTGTTGTGATCCTCCCTGGTGTTGTGTTCCACCCTGGTGTTGTGTTGTGATCCTCCCTGGTGTTGTGTTGTGATCCTCCTGGTGTTGTGTTGTGATCCTCCCTGGTGTTGTGTTCCTCCCTGGTGTTGTGTTGTGATCCTCCCTGGTGTTGTGTTCCACCCTGGTGTTGTGTTGTGATCCTCCCTGGTGTTGTGTTCCACCCTGGTGTTGTGTTGTGATCCTCCCTGGTGTTGTGTTTCCACCCTGGTGTTGTGTTGTGATCCTCCCTGGTGTTGTGTTCCACCCTGGTGTTGTGTTGTGATCCTCCCTGGTGTTGTGTTCCACCCTGGTGTTGTGTTGTGATCCTCCCTGGTGTTGTGTTCCACCCTGGTGTTGTGTTGTGATCCTCCCTGGTGTTGTGATCCTCCCTGGTGTTGTGTTGTGATCCTCCCTGGTGCTGTATTGTGATCCTGATGGTGTGTTGTGATCCTCCCTCGTGGTATGTTGTGGGCCTCCCTGGTGGTATGTTATGGGCCTCCCTAGTGGTGCACTATAGGCCTCCTTGGTGGTGTTGTAGGCCTACTGGGTCTCTTAACGCTCACGTCCAATTTTTCCAATACAAAACTTTCTCTGAAATGAGCTGCCTCAAAATCTGTTCTTTGCTGTGTGTGTGTTAGCTCCCGTACCATATCTTACGTATAAATATGCTTTCAGTTGTACACTATCTCTTGCGTTCATGCGTTATAGAATGCGTACACACAATCATATTTAGACCAGTGTAATTATCTTGAGCTCTGCCTCTAATAACCAAGTTGGCTTACCTATATAATACAGTATTGTCATTCTAATTAAGTACTTACTTCCTGCTGTTAGCAGTAGTAGCAGCAGATGTCACTGAGTGCCAGCAGCGAGGGCAGCAAATGGCACTGGTGCTCTCCTATAATTCGACTCGACTGCCTGTTACCTGTAAAGCCTCGGATAATGAACCCCGCCAACGAGGCTATTACTACACAAACTACCCCATTTGAGCGAAATGCCAGAAGGTAACAGGCCCAGGAGCAGACCTCACCTAGTTAAATTGCTGCTCTGTGGTCAAGAGGTCAACAAAAGCCTGGAATTCCTTCTTGGGTCATCAGGGGTAGATTCAGTCGTCCCCTAACACATGAAAGCATTCTTAAGGTTACCATCTAACACGAAAATAATCTCCGACAATCACAGTACCACGACCATCACTATGACTACTACTTTGGACAATGCTTCCCTTTCGCGTTAACAAAAGCCTTTTTTAATGTGCAGTACTTTTATTTGTTAGAGTTAAGGTTAAACAAATGAAAATTTAATTAACTAAGTAAGCTATGCATATAACGTAACGAAACTCTGTTGAAACAGATGAAAAAATCGGCTTTATTAAGTACACTTTTTTTCGCTAATTTCGTTAGCACAGTTTTGATATTGTTATATTAAATAATATATTTTGGTGAAATGAAGTTTGAATACAAGCAAAAACTACTCATCACTAAACCTTATTGAAGAATTAGACGCGTGTGCAACCCCTGGGTATCTTTAATGCAATAAAGATACCCAAGTGTTGCACGTATCTCAACTTGTCAGTATCATATGACATTATTAGTGATTACTAAACTTTGTATAAGATATTCAATGAATTACTAATCCCGAAGATTAGCCAAGACAGCCGTGTAGGATTCGAGTCCTTTCGTTTGTGAGTGAAACGCTTTACCGGCGAGCTATACCTGGAGAGGGCTTCAGGGTAAACGCTTCCCCCTCCACGGCTCGTTCCATGGGTACAATCAGGTTCTGGTACTAACAGTAACTGTCGATCGCTCTCTGATGACGCATTTATATAACAGCGTGGGTAAGTTGTCCTATTGCTTAGCTAAATTGCCAAGCAATATGGCAACCTACTCACTGTCATACTTGCGTAAATCGCAGAAGCAGCTTCATACCCTGAAGCTGATGTTTGATTATCTTACTTAAGTTAGTTTAGGTACAATCCACACATACAATAAGTACAGTTACACAAGTTTTAGATGATTGCAGTTGTTGTATATAGTAACATTCGTGTTAATTACCAAGGATAACCCAATAGCATGAATTATTGAGTCAGTAGGATAAAATTATAATTGCAAAAGAGAGAACAGATAGAGACGGTCCAGTCACTGTACGCAGCGGACGGGAAGGTTATGGAGGGGTTGAGGCTGTACCCTAAGTCGACGGCCAAGGCACCGTACCCAACGGAGGACATGGGTATAGAAGGGATGAAGCTGTACCCACCGTGGAGGGTCCAGTCACCGTACCCAGGAGGTTAATGAACCTGATGTACAATTAGCGCCTCGTCTCTTAGTGTTTCTCTTCACATGCTAGTGTCTCCCATTGTTGAATTAGCAATGAAATTCATCTGACGTTTCAACTGGAAAGACATGCCATATTTCACAACAAAAATTTTTAGTCTATTCACGGGAAAACATTCTTCATGTTTTTAACATTTGGCGAGATATTTTTTTGTTACACTAGCATGAAGGAGGAACTGATAAGACTTACTTGATATGCGTTGCGAGTAGTGAGGTTGGGAGGAGATAGAGAATATAAAAAATACTGCAGTTGGTTCTTACCTTAGTAAACATTGATCAAATATAAAACATCACTTTAACAACAATCACTATAATCATTGTTGATCTTAATATTTATATATATATTATATATATATATTATATATATATATATATATATATATATATATATATATATATATATATATATATATATATATATAATATATATATATATATAATATATATTTCGATTTAAAAAGCTTTCTGCTAGACTCACTCTTCAAGATTTCTTAAAAAATATTTTATAGTTTTACCTGAAATGACAGAAATTTCCGCTTTGATTTTTGCTGGTGCGGTGCCGAGAACAGCGTTAAGAGTGTACACGTCTGAGAAATATCGGGCAAAATGTCTGCGGGGAGGAAAAAAAAATCTAGAAATCATTTCCAGGAGGCGAAATAAATAAGCTAGAGTTGGTATTCCTCTCAGGCCTCTCCTTATTGCAGCAATCGTACCCTCGCCGGCACTTGGTACTGAAATCAATATTTCCTGTAAATGATTACTGAAAAAAAGGCATGTTTACAATCAAGGTAGTGAATGAACGTGTTTCCAAAAACGATATCGCAGGCATCCAATTTCCTATCTGTCAGAGTTTCGAGATGTTGTTGTATATTGTAGTGCACAGGTGTACGTCAAATATACGTACACAGTGAACATGTGAACATGAAATACATGAAGACATACACTAAACCTCTTCAGACAAGAAGCTGATTAATGGAATGAGTTGAAGGAAGAAATGGTGAGTGTACAATCCATACATAGCCTCAGAAATAGGTACGATAAGGCCCAAGAGGTCAGAAATGAGTAATTCAGATTAAGTGTGAAAGACGGGGTCACGACCCGAGATTCGACCCTCGGAAACAAATCGATGAGTATAAACAAAAACATTCAAAAATTTGACTCAGTTCGTCTTAAAGAAGCCAACATGTTGCCCTTAGACTGCACACACACGTACCGAGAATTACTTCTCACCTTATACAGGTATAATTCGCACACACGAAGTATACCTGGAGAGAGTTTCGGGGGGCCACCGCCCCCGCGGCTCGGTTGAGACCAGGCTTCATGGTGGATCAGGGTCTGATCAATCAGGCTGTTACTGTTGGCCGCACGCAACCCGACGTACGAACCACAACTCGGTTGGTCAGGTACTGACTTTAGGTGCCTGTCCGGCACCTTCTTGAAGACAGCCAGGGGGTCTATTGGTAATCCCCCTTATGATGTTGCCTGCGTGCGTGGGCAGCATAATGTGTGTGTGTTTGTCCTGGATGGAAATAAAACTTATGACGACATTTCGCTCCGACTTGCATCATTAACTGGCAAATGACCCAAGACTGACCGAAACGTCGTCATAAGTTTCAGTCTTCTATGTACGAGTTATTCGTGTACTGTTCCAGTCACGGTATTGTGACTTTTTGTTCTCTCTTCATAATTCGTAAAAACATGATCATGTGTGTGTAATTTTTTCATTAGTGAAAATCTCTTATAACACCTATGTTTGTTGTAACTGACTACCGGATCTTCTCTCTTGCAGACACCTTGGAGGAGTTCGACCTACTACAGGCCATCGCTGTGCCCTTCGCTGACCCCTCCACTCAGTACTTCGTTACCGGCTTCGATGGCTTCCCCGCCTTCGGGTTCAAGGTCGGCGCCAGTATCAAACACCCCTACAGACTCTTCCTTCCGGAGAAGTTCTTCAGAGTCTTCTCGGTGAGTCTCTCACGAACACCCAGGAACAATAAAGGGTGGAGTATGAGGTCCTTAGGTTCATATTCCTGCATTGTGTGTAGGTCAAATACTAATACAGGAATTCTGAACATACTGATTGCCGCTTTACATTGTGTGTGTGTATATATACATATATATATATATATATATATATATATATATATATATATATATATATATATATATAATGTATTATATATATGTATATGCAATAAGATCACAGTAAACAGGTGATTTCAGAATATGCAAAACAACCACTCTGAAAGAATAGAGAAATTCCAAGCGCTTTCGTGACTACTCACATTATCAAGGAACTATGAAAGTAAAGCATCCAAGGAAGCTATATAAGGGGTCTGGCCAGCACCTCACTATCAGATCCCACAACGGTTAAACACGTGACGCGCGCCGACCCAACTTGGATAGGTCCTTTGCACAACTCACCCACAAACTATTCTACCCAAGAAAATTTAAAAATTATTATTTGTCCAGTGTATTATTAAATTCTTCCCAAATTCTATTAATTATAAATGGATCTAATTTATATAAACCAAAGGAAATATTCATATTATTGTCAAAACTGCTTTTTATGAAACAAGATTCAATTATATTCCTGTCGACCATGGACTTGCTTGATACTGCTTTCTCAGTAGTGTCACGAACCAGTGATGGAAATCTGAAGCCCATCTGACCAGGTGTTCTCAAGTTATAAACGAGAACCTTAAAGAAAACAGTCTGTCGACCAATTAAAGGTATCCCTTTGAGGATACTTAATAGTGAATTTCACAGTTGTGTAGGACACCACTAGCGTGCACTCGAGGTACTCTTATATTGGAAAATATTTCAAGTTACGATTTCTACAGTACCAACACTGCCAAAAATATAAACAGAGCAGGTAAATTATCATTAATATGATTTATTATATTCGTTGTCAGAGGAATAAGAGGTAAACAGATTTAATCCACGAACCTATTACCCACATTTATTGGAGAGAGTATGTATAGCCTTCAGCTCTGCCCCGCTCAGCTATTCCCACATCACGTTGTGAGTTTATAACCCGTAAACAAGGGTGATATTACCGGGAGACCGGCTGAGCCAGGTCGGCTATCATGGAAGCTGCGTTGTAAGGTTACATATGGTTGTGGTACATGCGATAGCGGTGCGGAAGGTAATTCACGCCGAGGTCAGCACGAGGCTGCATTCGCCTAGAACAGTCAAGAGATGTAGCAGAAATGTGCCAGGGATGTGGAAGTGATGTTAGATGTCAGATCCCCATGTTAGTGGCTACATTAACGTGCGAGGCAGCCAACGGCTTCCATTGTGCTACCTACTCTGAAATTAATATTGTCTTACCTTCCACAAAGCCATGTAAGAATGTATCGCAGGAATCGTCTCTTTCAGAGGTAGTACCTCCTGTCTCATTCCTTACGAAGATTGTACCTTCAGTCTTGTACCTTTCGTAGTTCATACCTTATGTTTCCTTCCTACCTCATATCTTATTCCTTACACGCTTCCTATCTTCTGTCTCATCCTTTTTACAAAGGTCATAACTTTTGCCTTCACCCTTTATAAAGGTCGCACCTGTTGTCTTTACTAAGGCCATACTTTCTACGTTAACCCTTTAACAAAGACAGTACATTCCGAAGAGAAAAAAATGAAACAGCTTTGAAGGTTCTGAACACATACTCTATAAAGGGCAGTAAAGTCTGCCAAGGAAGTAACCAAACTTTGAAGAGCTTTGGCATTATTTTACTCGTGCACTATCAAACCGAAATCAAAAATTCTAACTCTTCACCAAGGACGTACAGACAGCATTCCAGCATCCGTATTTTGTCTTGTACGTTCTTACTTCTTTGCTTCCCCCTCCCCTCTATCCTTAAGACTTGTTTGGTTACAAAACTCTACTACTCTTCTCGAGGATACAGTCACTATTTCCTAAGTTACACTCGAATGTCCTCGAGTATTTAGCTGTGGACACAGTCTATTTCACACGCGTTCGCGCTGAACGCAATGGCTGATCCCTGCTAATTCACGTGTCTCAAATTTTTAGCCGGTGACAGAATTTTAATATCTGTCTTTGGGAGCTTAATGGCATCCATTAGTCTCTGTTAATGAATATAAATGAACAAGGCAGACAATAATTCATGGCACTCGAAACTCTCCTCTAGAGCCCCTCAACGTACTCGCAAACTCACAAGGCAACTCACTTTCCTTTGTCCTTTTATGAGCAATAAATTAAATTTTTTGAATTCTCGCTCTGTAGATGTGTTTATAAATGACGATTTGTTATTATGAATCTTGTGTTCTTGATGCTTCAACTACTTTTAGATTTTTTCGTATAATATTTTTTCGGCACTGTTCTGTGATTGCATTCCGACCCTCAGCCACTCTTATTGTGAAGAAATATTTATCAAATTCTTTTATAAAATATTTCCCAGGTTGCTGGAAGATGTGACCTTCTTCTCGCTGCTCTTGGCATCAACACATCCTCCTTTACATTTCTCGTTTGTTTTAATTTACGTGTATTTATTTCTCTCCTCCCTTCCTCCTCCTCCTATGAAGACGCTAGCATTGACTTTAATTATCGTAACTCATGCTTCTAATTTCTGAAATACATCTTGTCGCGAAACTTCTGACCAACTTCCAACTGCTGGTACTCCCCTCCCTTTCCTACCATGACTGACGTTCAGTTGGTGCTGACCTCACTGGCCCTGCTATCGTAAGTTTTCTTCAAGCTGTGTTTGGAGTTAAGAGTCCACTATTAGCTCGTGAAAATCGTTCCGTTTCTTTACCACCATCAAACTAAAGATATGCTTCCTTTAATATTTCTCTGTCTGTGTCTCTCTCTCTCTCTCTTTCTCTCTCTCTCTCTCTCTCTCTCTCTCTCTCTCTCCTCTCTCTCTCCTCTCTCTCTCCTCTCTCTCTCTCTCTCTCTCTCTTCTCTCCTCTCTCTCTCCTCTCTCTCTCCTCTCTCTCCCTCTCTCTCCTCTCTCTCCCTCTCTCTCCCTCTCTCTCTCCCCCCTCTCCCTCCCTCTTTTTTTTTTTTTGCACAGGGTTTGACAAGGTTAGGTTAAGGATCCCTAGCTTTATTGACAAGCTATTTGCAGGTTAAGGATTCCTAACTTTATTGGCAAGCTAAGAGCTGTTACCTACATCACCTCATTTGAAAGCATTTTTATTGTTATGAGACATACAAGTAGGGAACAGGATGAAGTTGGAGCCATCTGTGGGCCAGCATTTTCATGTGATCAATTGACTTTATCTCGTTGACATCATTATGCTGTACGAATGTGTTCCATATTCGAGTCATCCTGGGTATATATAATCTCAGATGGAGTGATGTTCTGGAGAAGGGTACAGCCAGAGTGAAGTTGCTGCTTTCTGCCCGTCTTGTGGCATAAAAGCTTGTTTCACGCTGTCCTCGAAGTGGATCCCAGTGTGGTACTTTGACAATATTGGCCTTGTACATAACAGTAAGGCCACCCACATCCCTCCTGTGTTGAAGGCTCTGCTGAAATGACAGATCTATCCAGGATGGGTCTAGGCGAGAGATGAGACGTCTTGCTCTGTTCTCTACTCTGTCAAGCAGTCGCAAATGAGAGGGGGGGCAGGCAAACCAAGAAAGTGGAGCATACTCAAGGTGTGATCGTACTTGTGCCTCGTACAGAATCTTGCAACCCCTCTGTCAAGCAGATGCGAGATACGGCGAAGTGCTGCAAGCTTCCAGGCTGCCTTGTTTGCAAGATTTACAACATGGTTCTTCAATGGTAGTTTGAAGTCAAATTTCACCCCAAGTATATCAACTTCTTCTCCAGGTGCCAATACCCTCCCATTCATCCTTACTACTGCACCAGCATTACCATCATGGTGCCTAGAGACGATCATCATTTGCGTTTTCTAAGGTGCAAATGTTACTTGCCATCTATTTCCCCAAGCTGATACAGCTCTCAGCTGGTGATTGATGTAGCATAGAGCAGCTGGCATTTCTTCTCTTGGATAAGTGAATGTCAGTGTACAGTCGTCTGCATATGCATGTGATTCTGGGATGAGATGAAGGTCATTGAAGTAGACATTCCATAACAATGGACCCAGTACGCTTCCTTGTGGAACACTTGCCCCAATAGGATGTCTTGCTGATTCCGTTCCATTGAGAACTACACTTAGAGATCTACCATGAAGGTAATCACTGAGGAGACATAACGTAGAGCCTGCAATTCCCAGTGTTTGAAGTTTTACTAAGAGGCCCTGGTGCCACACCCGGTCGAAAGCGCCAGCAATGTCCAGTGCTACCACACAGCTGACTTTGGATTCATCCAGTGACTGGTGCCACTTAGTGGAGAGGTTTAACAACAGATCAGCAGCAGAGTAACTTTTCCTGAAGCCATACTGACGATCACAAAGTAGTGAGTGGTAGTCAAAAAACTCTGTCATTTGTCTTGAGATTATTGTCTCAAGGATCTTACCAGTGATTGACAGGAGTGACACTGGTCTGTAGTTGCTGATTTCTGTTCTGCTCTTCTTTTTGTGAACAGGGACTACATTTGCCTCTTTCCATAGAGAGGGCCATTTACACTGTACTAGGCAGTGCTGAAAGATGCGAGTTAGAGGTGCTGCTAGCTGGTCTGCACATCTTCTCAGCAATCTTGGGCTCAACTTGTCTGGGCCCACAGCCATTTCTTGGTCAAGCGATTTAAGAAGGAAATGCACCTCCTCCTGCTTTATTGTCTCTCTCTCCGTCTCTCTGTCTGTCTGTCTGTCTGTCTGTCTGTCTCTCTCTCTCTCTCTCTCTCTCTCTCTCTGTCTCTCTCTCTCTCTCTCTCTCTCTGTCTCTCTCTCTCTCTCTCTCTCTCTCTCTCTCTCTCTCTCTCTCTCTCTCTCTCTCTCTGTCTCTGTCTCTGTCTCTCTCTCTCTCTCTCTCTCTCTCTCTCTCTCTCTCTCTCTCTCTCTCTCTCTTCTCTCTCTCTCTCTCTCTCTCTCTCTCTCTCTCTCTCTCTCCTCTCCCCTCATATGTAGCCACATTGTTGACCAGGCTGGCTGGTCCTAGACTGCCGAGGACAAAGTTGAGAATTTTGTAAAAGTTGAGCGTAACAGTTGTATCGGCGCCGGCAGCTGGCGATACGGGGACTTGTTATCAATACTGAATCGCTTTACCTGGTGAATGTCGCGGTGGTGTCGTTGCCGGAAGATGGAGGGTAGTGGTGCCACAGGGGTAGGAAAGGTGAGAGCCAGAAGGAGAGAAGCAGGTGAAGGAAGGTGGAGGTGGGAGGCCAAGTGGAAGTGAAGGAGAGGATGTGTGGTGGTACCTTCCCTTCAACCCAGTAAGCTGAAGCAAGACTTGAACACACAGTAAGCTGAAGCAAGTCTTGAACACACAGTAAGCTGAAAGAAGATTTGAACACAATAAGTTGAAGCAAGACTTGAACATACAGTAAGCTGAAGCAAGGCTTGAATACAGTGAGATAAGTCAAGCTTAACCGCATTCATGCTGCTGATCCACATTAGTTGACCTTCGCTGGTGGTGGTAGTAGTGGTGATAGTGGCGGTAGTGGTGGTGGAGGTAGTGGTGGTGGTGGTGGTGGTGGTAGTAGCGGTGATAGTAGCGGTGGTAGTAGTGGTGGTGGCGGAATTATCCTTGTCAGAAGCAGCTTAAAAAAATAAATAAAATGCTCCAGATGCAGGTTGACTAACACACTCAGATGAACGTTTTTCTCTCTCTCTTTATTTCCTCATCTAACTGAGGCTTCCATAACTTATCGTCTCACCCCCGTAAAATTCTCATATCACATCATGTCATTATGCTAAGCTTCTCTCCTGTAAAATGGAACACTGTTTTTCCACGCCCTAGGATGGTTTGCTGGTTCTTTTTTAGACATCCTCTTTAAGTTGGCTGCCTGAAGTGTTGCGTTACTAGCGCAGAATTACTAGGTTTTGTTATAATACATTACTAGGGTCGATTATAGTGCTGCATTGCTAGGCTATATCATAGTGCTGCATTGCTAGGTTATATCATAGCGTAACATTACTAAATTCTATCATACATTACTAGGTTCTGTTACAGTACAGCATTTTACTGAGCACACCCTCCATCGATTACATATTTAAATATGACGTATTTCGTATAATTATATTTTAGTGTTGATAAACAGTGGAGCACCTTAACTTTTACCGTAAAGTAACATTACTAAGAATATGTTCCCTGTTTCATTGTGTTACTATTAAACTTTGCGCCCTTGTTTCTCCATTTTTCACTGTACTAAACATAGGTACATCCATGCTTCACTGTACTAAACATAGGTACATCCATGTTTCACTGTACTGAACATAGGAACATCCATGTTTCACTGAATCATTTCTAAATATTTCTCCCTTTGTCCCTCTTTGTGTTAGTGATAAATATCTCATCCTTGGTGAATACATATCTCATAGGATCTCGACTAAACATTGCTTCACTGGTGTCCCCATGTGTCGCAGTACATTGTCTCTCGTGCGCTCTCTCTGGAAAAGGACACTTGTGTACAGTTCAGGACATTTATTGAAGGAAACACTTCGCCACGAGTGGCTTCATCAATCTACTTGTGGCGAAACGTTCCCTTCAATATATGTCGTGAAATGTACATAATCGTGTGTTCTCTGTGTCAAATATTGACTCCTCTGTGCTCTCTCTTTCATAATTTTTGATTTCTATTAGGGAAGAACTGAAAAGGTTTGAGTTAGGTACGGGGCAAATAGGAGAGGGTAGACAAAAGATACGTGGGACAATTTACAACAGGTTTTGTGGAAAAAGACACTTATGTACAGTTCAGAACATTTATTATACGTTTCCTATAATAAATGTCTTGAGCTGTACATAAGTATCTTTTCCCACATTTCGTTGGTATCACCAAACCATTTCTCACAACAAGTTTTATATTGCAGTGAATTTATGACGGTATCTTAGCTAAACTTTATCTCCCCTGTGCTCTTTATTTCACAGTAACATTACTAAATATTGACTCGGTGTTGCAGATCATGATCGCCCTCAAGCCTGACACAGCGAGTCCGATGTTTGCGTTTGCAGTTACCAATCCGCTTGAGAACATCATTCAGCTCGGTGTTGGCTTCACTCCTGCGGACCCTGGCCGCACCAATGTCTCTCTCTACTATACCGATGGAGAGAGACACATGACCTCACAGACCATCGCCTCCTTCCTTGTGCCTCAGTTTGTCGACACTTGGAGCAGGTGAGACTGGACAGGCTGATATAGGGGTCAGGATGGGCAAGGGGCAAGGGGAATGGTTGAGTTTAGCTAACTAGAGGAGCAGTGGAACACAGGCTAACCTCTAAAGGCACAGACATTAAAAAAGACTAGTTTATCATCGCTGATATTTCAGTGCATAAAAGGATACCAGTCGTTGGTGATATTTAAAAAAAAATCAGTCTAAACCCTCAGGGATTCAGGGAATAGAAGGGCATCTTTTCTAGGTGGTAGAAAAGTATTACGCCAACGTTTCACACGTAGGAAGTCAGACTCGCCTATACACTTGCTCTCAGGTGAAGAATGAAAAATGTAAGTCATACTACATTTCATCTACACAATTATATGCTTATTAGAATCATTGTACGATAGTGTACTACTGTTTGTAAAACCACATGTTTTATTATTTATTATTATTATTATTATTATTATTATTATTATTATTATTATTACTACTTAAACAGGTTGGCGTTTAGCGTGACCGAGGAGGACATTCAGCTGTGGTATAACTGTGAGTTGTACAGTGATGTCTTAGTGAAGCGTGTGCCCCTTCAGTTGGTCTTCGACTCAGCCTCCACGCTCTACATCGGCCAGGCCGGTGGCATCTTCAAGGGCGAGTTTGAGGTGAGGCTTCCGTAATTTTTCTCATCTATGGTGTTAAGAGATAAGAGAGATAGATAAATGTCACAGTGGATATTTTTTTCCCCCGTGGGAGGATCATAGAGCTTTTGAAACTAGATTTTTTTTAGAGGGAAGGGGGAAGATGGTATGGATTGGATTGTAAGTTTCGGCCTTGGGTGGTATATTATAGAAGATGAACCAATGCCATCACAGGTGTGATAACATTTCAGTGCTTTAAAGAAAAGGCTTGGTCTCTCCTATATATTGTTGTCAAAAATGGCCTAGAAATTTGTATATTTCGTAAATATATGTTTAAATTTCTACAATGCTCATATATACTAATGTAGATGTTAACTTAGGGTAACACAATAAAGTCAGTGTGGCTTATTTCTGAGTGTTAGGCGACTGTTGTGGGTCGCATCATGGGGAATAAGATTAAAGAACCCCAATGATAATAAGACACAGTTCAAAATGACGCACTGACTTTCTTGGGTTATCCTGGGTGACTGACACTCCCCACCCTCCCCGGGATAAAGCTGAACAAATACTTATCTCGTCAATATCTTACAGCAAGCCCGTTTCACGATGTTGTTAAAGTAAGGGTTACCCTTTCACTGTTCCTCGGCAATTTTCTATTACTCCACCAAGATGTAGCAAAGAAAACGAATAATGCGAGGGTAAACTTAGAAAAATAAGTGCAAACGTACGATCATCATTATTATTAGATGATTTTTATTTGGATTATTAAACCAGAGGGTTGTAAGTAAGTTTATTCAGGTATACACAATTACATAGAATATCATACATAGCAGAATATGTGTAGGAACCTAGGATAACCCAAAAAAGTCAGACAGTGACTTATTTCCACTGTGTCTGACTTTTTTGGGTTATCCTAGGTTCTCTACACATATGCTGCTATGTATGATAATTCTATGTAACTGTATTTGTGTATACCTGAATAAACTTACTTACTTACTTATCCAAAAGGTACCTCATGGATAAGGCTAAAGTGGGATTTCTTGTATGAAAATAACTAAATTTACTTCTTCCATAATATATTCTTTTACTGTAACTGCTTTTACATAGTTGAAATACCTGTTTTAACTGTTTGAATTGTTTGAACTGGCTCATACTATGACAGGCTTTGACATGTGTGGGTAGTCTGTCTTCGAAGCCTGATTACTGACTCTAGGTATTGTAAAGTTGTTCTCCCTTCCCCTAGTTCTGTAATTGTAGTGGTTCCCAGCCTTAACAAAATTGGCAGTAAGATACTGGGGACACTGGTTGTGAGCAATTTTATAAACATAATTTAGCATTAGTTGATTTAGTCTTCAACATTCAGCATATCCAGTTGCTGTAATTCATCCTGGCCTACATGCACTCTTGAACCCAGGTGCACGATGAATCTCACCATTTTATTCTCGGCGATTTGTAGCCTATGTTTTTTTTTATATATATAAAGACAGAGTATCATGAAGAGCAAGAGTAATCTATAATACATTGTATAAGAGCTAGACATAGGGTCCTGCGAGCCTCAGTAGGTAGCCACTCAGCCTGTCTGTAGAGGAATTTAAGTCTGGCATTCGCTTTCTTTATAACATTGTCCCATATTAGTCCTCCTGACATGCTTGGGTCGAAGGGAATTCCCAGATATTTCACCGAATTTACAGTAATAGTAGGTTCCCCATTACACTGGACATTAAAATTATTTACCTTTTACCCTTTTCAATTTAGTTTTCGTGCCAAAGAGTATGGCTTCCGTTTTCCATTTGCTACAGGATTCTAGTTCTAGTGATAGTACGTTAGCAATGTCTTGTGGGTCAAACCATACCACGGGTGGGGATAGAATCCGCGATAAGAGTCTCAAAACTCCAGACCGTCGCGTTAGCCACTGGGCCAGCTAGCCACAATAAGATATTATTGTGGCTAGCTGGCCCAGTGGCTAACGCGACGGTCTGGAATTTTGAGACTGATCGCGGGCTCTATCCCCGCCCGTGGTATGGTTTGTTTGAAATCGTGTCATTACGATTTCGTGAGTCTTGTGGGTCTTTACCTGATACTAACAGAGCACTATCATCTGCGTACAGTAGAAGCTTGCATTTGACACTGTTAGGCATGTCATTCACATAACACAAGAATAGCAACGGACCCAGGATACTACCTGGAGGAACCCCACATGTTATCGGCATGGGTTCTGATTCTGTGATGTTGATCTTAACAGTTTGGTTTCTGTTGCTCAAGTAGAACTTAAACCATTCTACAGAACTCATGCCGATAGCTTGTAGTTTCTTACATAATGTATTGTGGTTAACCTTATCGAAGGCCTTTTGCAAGTCTGTTATCATTCTTATGTAATTCCCTAAGCGACATTTCAGTTCTCAGGTAATCCATCAAATTAATGAGGGAGGTGTCGGTTGAATGATCTCTAAAACCTGACTGGTAATTATGGAAAATATTTTTGTCATTAAGATACTTAACTACTTGACAGTATACAGCCTTCTCTAGAATTTTGGGCATCACAACAATGAATATACTAATAGGCCTATAGTTGATGACATCAGATCTACTATTTTTCTTGAAGACAGGAGTAACTCTGGCCTCTTTGAATCCTTCCGGGACAGTATTTGTGGCTGGGGACTCTTTTGTTTCCATTGGGATCCTTCAATTCTTTTCCCCAGGATGCGACCCACACCAATCGATTAACACCCAGGTACCTACTTACTGCCTTACTGCTAGGTGGAGAGGGAGCAGCAGGTGTAAGGAAACATGCCCATTGTTTCACTCGTGCCGATGAGCGATCCTGATCCCTCAGTGAGTGTGTTGAGAAAGCTAAGAACCGCACCACGAGCACACAGTTGTTATACACTGCCGATCTGTTAATTGTGTTTATTTCAAGTTGCCATCGCCTATATTCCACTCTTCATGTAAGAGAGACTTGTGGGTAAGTTTCCTTACAGCTGCCTCCTGCTTCCACTGTTCACATAGCAGTAATAGGTACCTGCTCTTTATTATGTTGCTGTGGATCCCATTACTCGGGAGAAGGCACAAGATTATCAAAACCGGGAAGTTATTAACATAAACCCCAGCAGTGCAACCCCAGGATGCAATCAACATCAGTCGAATAATGCTTGGGATAGTAGATTTATTCGCATAATTATCCAGAAGCGTTAGTAACCTAGAAGAACCCATTAGGGTAATTTGATCAACCCTGGCACGTCGATGCCAGGGTGTTAACGTAGGTAAAAACGCTGACAGCAGATGTAAGTAAACATGCTCAATGTTTCTAATATTCGTCGAAGAAGCATCCTGTTAGTACTAGGTGAACAGGGAGGCTTGCTGGTGCATGTCGCCCAGTCCGAGAATGAAGCCTGGGTTATATGACGAGATCTCTACTGTTGTGCTATGAGGTATCATCTTTGCATCACACATAACAAATGTGTCAATAATAATAATAATTATAGTACTAATTTTTATCAGCTACTGTCTCCGACCAATGTAGGGTGATTAAAAAAAAAAAGGTTCTCTTCACCATTATTCCTTCAGTAGCTGAAGTGCGCAGACATCGTAGTTAAAAATGTCCTTCCGAACTGCAACAACATCGCCACTCATCGTTCAGAGCGCAGGTATTGTTCCTCCCATCTGCTGGACTCGGTCCATGCTCGCTGGTTTCCCAGTATCCCTCCATATATGTTACCTTGCTTGCTCATGCTCCAACAGCATGCTAAATTCTAAAATCTCAATCTCTCTCTCTCTCTCTCTCTCTCTCTCTCTCTCTCTCTCTCTCTCTCTCTCTCTCTCTCTCTCTCTCTCTCTCCTCCTCTCTCTCTCCTCTCTCTCTCTCTCTCACACACACACACACACACACACACACACACACACACACACACACACACACACACACACACACGCGCACACACACACAGCCACAGAGTGGTCAGGAAGTAGAATAGTTTGGGAAGCGATGTAGTGGAGGCAGGATCCATACATAGCCTTAAGCAGAGGTATGACAAAGCTCACGGTTCAGGGAGAGTGACCTAGTAGCGACCAGTGAAGAGGCGGGGCCAGGAGCTTGGACTCGGCCCCTGCAACCTCAACTAGGTGAGTACAACTAGGTGAGTACACACACACACACACACACACACACACACACACACACACACACACACACACACACACACACAGTCAACAGGGGTGGAAGTGCTTGGTGATGTCTTCCAATATGCGAGTCAGTAGGGGTGGAGGTGCTTGGTGCTGTCTTCCAATATGTGAGTCAGCAGGGGTGGAGGTACTTGGCGCTGTCTTCCGATATGCGAGTCAACAGGGGTGGAGGTGCTTGGTGCTGTCTTCCAGTATGTGAGTCAGTAGGGGTGGAGGTGCTTGGTGCTGTCTTCCGATATGCGAGTCAACAGGGGTGGAGGTGCTTGGTGATGTCTTCCAGTATGAGAGTCAGCAGGGGTGGAGGTGCTTGGTGCTGCCTTCCAGTATGTGAGTCAGCAGGGGTGGAGGTGCTTGGTGCTGTCTTCCAGTATGTGATGTCAGCAGGGTGGAGGTGCTTGGTGCTGTCTTCCAGTATGTGAGTCAACAGGGGTGGAGGTGCTTGGTGCTGTCTTCCAGTATGTGAGTCAGCAGGGGTGGAGGTGCTTGGTGCTGTCTTCCAGTATGTGAGTCAGCAGGGGTTGAGGTACTTGGTGCTGTCTTTCAGTATGTGCATAAAGAGCAATAGACGTAGCTACGATTTGGTAAAGCCTTGCACCCTCCAGACTCGCTCAGTGGTCTCAGGTGACAGTTGCTGTTGACTGGGAAGGATGTGAGAAGCTGCTCTGTCTCCATTAACCCTTATGCTGAAGGGTCTAAAATATACATGCCTCAGTGCCAACGATTTGAGAAAAAAAGTTAATCTTTCCAAAATTGTTGCCCTTTTTTTTCGAAGTGTAAAAAGGCAAGAAAGAGTAAAATTGTAGTAATACGGAGATATGAATGTTTGAAGAAGGTGACCTATTCCT